ACTATATCCATGTGTTTCTCTCTGTGAATACTGACTTTCTTTCGTAACTCTTTTCCTCTGACCCTGCACTTCCCAATATGTTTTCTCCTCTCAGGCCTCAGGTTTTACCTCTTCTTTGTCCTTGCACCAAGAGAAAGAGTAAAGAGATATTAAACTTTCCTTCTTATTTTTATACTATTATTCATACATTTATAGAAATTCTTAGGGAGCTCTGGTGGCCTAGTGGCAAGAAGCTGCACTGCAAACCCAGAGGTATGTGGTTCAAATCCACCAGATGCTTCACTGGAGAAGGAGGGGCAATTTCCTCCTATGCCAGTCAGATCTGATTTAATGGTACACACAAAAAAAATACTAAAATCTTTTAAAAATTAAATTAAAAAAAACAAACAAATCTTGAAGTTTTTCTAAGTGCCAGAAAAGAAATTACAACAATGAATATAACTGTTGATTATTTTAGAAAAATCATAGAGTGTGAATCATCCTTGTAATAATCATGTCAGAAGATTAGTCGTCAAAGATTTGGGGCCAATCTCATTTCTAAACAGAATGAGTGTTAGGTTAATTTCTGTTGAAAGGACAGCCATTAATTTATCGTATTCCTCAGAAACTCTTGTTTGAGTCAGTTACCATTTCAAGCAAAGGGACACACCACCCTAAGCTGTTCTGGTGTGAACACATAGAGACAGAAAGAAAGCAAGATGAACTGATCTCATCCTATTTTGCCCTATTGAAAGTCTCAGTCTGTTCTCTGACTTATTCTAAACTTTTATCTACTGTAATATGGTACATGGGGAATCAAACTAACCATCCAAAGAAAAAGAAATGGAGACCCTATATCTTACCAAGACATTTTATGGCATTTTATCATTGATGCCTATTCTAACAAAAGTTACAGAATGTACACTTCTAAGGACCTGTTGTGTGTAACAACAGAACTCCTTTGAGACACAGGGACAGGTGAAGACATAACCACAGTCTTCAAGGCCCTCATGCTCGGCCTCCCCTGTGCCCTGACTCACACCTCCACTTCTGCCTTCTCCTGCCACTGCTCCTTGGCTATATTTTCTTCTGCCAAATAGCTACCTGGTGAGTTTCTTCAGCAACTTCAGATCTTTACTGAAGACATCATCTCAATGAGACCTACTCCGACCACTACTTTTAAAAGAAAAAAATCTTTCAATCACTACATTTACTTTATTTTTTTTTATTGCATTTGTTGTGTAACCGTTGAGTCGGAACTGACCCATAGCTGACCCTCTGTGGGTTTTCGGAGGCAGTTAATCACCAGAGAGATTACCCATCCTTCTCCCACATAGCAGCTGGAGGATTTGAAGCATGAGCCATCAAGATTGCAGCACAACTTCTTGCCAGTAGGGCACCCATCTTCTAAAATATTGATGGCTTAGTGGTAAGGATTCGTATTGCCAAGCCAAAGGCACATGGTTTGAATCCACCAGCTGCTCCACAGGAGGAAGCTGGGAAGTCTCCTCCTGTGCAATTTACAGTCTCTGAAAACTCGAGTCAGTTCCAAATAAAGGAACACAGCAACAAAGTACTACATACTTTATTTATTATGTTTATTATGTATTGTCTGTCCTTTCCCCTCAAAAAGTGAGCTTTTTTTTGGAGCTTTTTGTTGTTTTCATAGTTTTATTCTTACTAACGTGTCCCACCCAGCACCTAGAATAGTGTCAGACATTTATGAAGTACTCAATAAGTACCTGTTAAATTGCTCTTTGTGAATATTTGACTTGTCGTAAATAACTGATAGGAAGTGGTTGCATTGATGACAGGCTCCATTAGAGTTAAAAATACAGCAATTCTATTTTTACACAAAAGCAATTGTGACTTTCTCTTTCTTGATCCCACTATATTAAGCTTGCTGATAGAAATTTCAGTGGCACCTCAGTTCCTTGGTAAGAGCAAGCAATCTTCATGAAAGGGTAATTGAAATGTTAGTGTTTATTTTCTCCATTTACCTGTTTGCTTTTGTTCTTTGATGTTAAACAGAATTCATTCTCAAATATTGTTGATTTCTAGTTTTTTATGCAGAAAAGTAGGCTTCAATAAGACCTAACTTGGATGAAGACTTGAACTGCAAAGTTATTTGGAGTAATAATAGCCAGAGTGATTCAGATGCAATGGGCAGGGGTTTGTAGGATTCTTGGAAAGATATAGTTAATAAAAATGAACTATTTTTCAAATAAAGCTTATAACTATGGTTTTGAAGACTATAACACAGTGGGGAAACCCTTTAACATAGGATTTATACCATCGTTATATATAAGTATGCATTTTTCCCAATTCAAACTTAACTTACTCTATATTTATTTTAAATGAGCCTAGAGAAATCTATTTTCCAATAATCTTACTTATTTTTTCCTCGTGAACTACTTTTAAATAAAAACCTTAAATTTTATTTTTTCCTTAAAGAAGACTATCTTATTTGTACTGTTTGTTTCACATCCTGAAGAACGCCTACAGCCAAAGGCCATTATTTATATATTGGTAGCTGCTAACTATTAATGCAAAACATCATATTGAATAAAGATAATTTATCACTATCTTTATGTATAGAGATAGAAAGAAGGGGTAAAGTAAGCCTTATTATTTGCTTGTTAAACTTTATTCTGATTTTCCTAAAATAAAATTAATTTAATTGTAAAGAAAAAAATACTAGGAAATTTACTTCATAATTGGTTTAACGGTACGGACTGTAACCATGCCTAGAAATACAAGCTTACTGTATGAGGCCTGCTGTGATAGGTAGACATGATCTACTTAATTAACTCCATTTGAAAGATCCAAGATGATTTTCCAGCCTAAGTGATGTATGAGCTTTGAACTCCATTACTTCTAGATCTCAATGTCAAAAAGTTGCTAACAGTGAGTTCAGTCTTTTTAGGGAACTTGGCAATAGGGAAACTGCCCCTAACCCAGCTCCCTGGGATTACAGGGATTAGCCCTCCCTGGGTTCTGGTCTCAACTCTATTTCTTAGTTACCATATGACCTTAAAACTCAATAGGCCCCCATTTCCTCCCCAGTAAATTAGAGTTAGTAAAGACACTACCCAAATAAGGTAAAAACAATACCAATTCTAAAAATATATTCATTATCAATATAATATCCTTGCTTTTTATTCTCTCAACAACAGTACAAGGTAATGATTAACTGCATGCTGATTATCTGCATACTGTTACATGATTTGAAGTGGGGGAGAGAACCCCTTTTTTATCCATTCATGGAAAACCTTGATCTTGTTAGTAATTGTCACTATTCTGTGTGGTTTGCTTAAGTGTCTGGATATGAAATCAGCACCATAGATATGACCCCTATCCAGTCTCTTGGTGATTCTCAGGCTTTCCCCCCCCCCCCTTTTCCTGCTTTTTTTACTATTACAGAAAAATTGCCTCCTGGAAACAAAATTGCATGCCTCTACACTAGTATTGTGTAAAATTGCACAAAGTTGTGTCACTTCCTTGGAGTCTTCGACCTTTTTTAGTATCTGAGGTCATTAATGGCCAGACATATCAGCAGTTAAGAAGGATCTAAGTGAACTTCTTATAAAGTAACTGTTAAAACTGGTACCACATCCCTGGGCCAATGTTATTTCAGAGAGCAATTGCTCTCTCCATGTTTCCAGATGAATTATAGTTTAAACATTTGTATGTTGTTTTGAGTCCTACAGAAAGGTAAATCCATAGACATATTTTGGGAACTTGCACTGTTTGGGGCTGGGGAATCCATTCAGCCATTACTATAAGCTAATCTAGCAGAGATGATCATCTATATAATATAGAACCAAATAAATACTTCAGCAAATACATCAACAATATGGGACTTTGTTTTCCTGGAGGCAAAGAAATGTCAGGCATGTAGGTATTCAATCATTTGCTTTTTATTTTGTGTCTTAGTAATGAGCTATGAACCCATAAAAGAAGACAGTTATTTATTTTGACTAGAAAGCTCAGAGGTCTTCTGGAAGGACTCCTGTTAGCCTTGAAAAAAAGAGTGAAATTTTCATTGGTCAAAAGAGAAGGATGTCAGGTTGGGTGAATAAAAATTTGAAAAAAAATCAAAATGAAACCCAACAATAGCAACAAAAGAGGAAGGTCAAAATCTGAAGAAGTAGCTTAAGCAGAAGGCAGAGAAGTGGGTGCACGCACTGCATGCTTGGGAAATGTCAAGGGCAGTTCGCAGCTAAAAGCAGGTTTCATAGAAGACGAAAGAGAAAGATGAGGACACAAAGGTAAACTGGAGCCGTGCTGCCAGCATGATAGAATCAAATGCTTTACAATGGAGCTTGAATTCCGTTTCCTGACGAGTAGGGAGTTCAACTTTTGAACAGTTGAGTAATGTGTTTGCATCACTGATTTTGCTAAGTCATTCAGGGGATTGTGTGTAAAAGAAGGATTTAGAGGATGAAAGTGGAAATAGTACTATTTGGTAAGAAGTTCATGTAGGGAGCTTGTGGATTACCACATAAAACATGTAAGACAGTTCCTGAGAAAAGCAAAAAGATTATTCTAAGGTGTCAGAGACCACTCAGCTGGAGAAGAATTTATCAGTGAACGGTCTACAGGAAGTTGAAGGGAATGAAAAAGTAGAGACAAAGAAAAATACATGGTTCCAGCCATGGTGACTTGGCAACAAGAAAGTTTCTGGAAAATCACATATCTTAGTTTCAAGGCCAGACCTAGTGGTGATAATAGTGCAATAATAGTATTTTTCAACTCCTTTCAGTATTATATTTTCTATTGTCAGAGCAGAAATCTGTTTGACTAAATTAAATCATTGAAAAAAAAGCTTATAGTATGTTCAAAAAGGCGACCATAGCTTGAACACAGTCAGCAGTCTAGTGATGAATACAGCACCCACTGAAAATAATAGCAACACCTTAGAGAGCTGTCTTAATTGTTCTGAACTTTGTCTGTACTTCAGAATATATTTCATGTCTCTCATTTTTTCTTTCTTTTTCTTCCCTATGCTGACGCTTTAGAGGAAAAGCCCGGTAAGAAATAATAAATCCTTTCCACACTTTGATCAAATATTATTTATCCTGTGTATTTTTACCATCTGCATCTCTAATGACTGAATATGTTTAACACCTAAACAAGGTTCTGAATTTTAAAAACAAACCTTTGGGAACCAACAGGAATTCTAATTATGCCACCTGGGGGGAAAAGGAAGTTTGTTGCTAAGCAATTGTGCATCCCTGTTATGAAGGATCACAGGGTAATTTGTGAGAATTGACCTGTCTCACCTACAGACAGATGATCACATATTTTAGATACTAAGTTTCATCTATTACAGATACACTCAGGCTATATATCCATAGTGTTGTGGTTAAATGCTGTTGAGTCATTGACAACTCATATCTACCCTGTGAAAAAAAGACCTGAACACTTGTATTAACTACATTTCTCTAAATTCATAGTTTCTGGAGGCAAGCTATTCCAGAAGTGGATGCCACTCCTGCTTCCAAGCCTGTTTTAATCTGGGATCTCTACCAAACACTGTCCGCCATGGGTAACCATTATCACATTTGACACTTCAGTGTCACAGTGTTTAGCATCACAGCAACCACAAGATACCTCTTTAGAGCAAATGGACAGACCACTGCTATACCACTTAGAAGAATGTTTGACCACAACCAATTAAAACCAGGCCTGAGGGCTGCAGATTAAAATCACCCACCTTTGGCTTGGTAGCATCACTTTGAGTCCACTAGGCCAGCAGAGCTCTCTTTATGACTCACAGAAATTCTTTGAACAGCAGCTCTAACCCTTGCCGCGTCCTATACCATCCTCACAATCTAAGACATCCTTGAGCCCATTGTTACAGTCACTGTATCAATCCATTGTGTTTTGGAGAAGCTGGGGGGAAAAAAGAAATTTAAGTTAATTTTTCGTTTAATGTGCAGTATGATATCACCATGAATGCTTGTGAAGCTGACCTGACTGAATTTTATTTCCTTTCTTTTTTAGTAGTGAAAAAAAAAAGATAGCCCCTTTCTCTGCTTGATTTTAAAAATATTCCATCTTATGGTCTTGTGGGTAAAAAATTGTACTGCCAACTCAAAGTCACACTGTTTGAATCCACCAGCTGCTGTAAAGGAGAAAGATGAACAGTTTTCTCCTGTGCTGTTTATAGCCTCTGAAAGCCCACTAGTCAGTTACGAGTGGGCTCCAACTTGTTGGTAAAGAGTAGAGTTATTGTATACTGAAATTATCAGAAACTAAATTAGAGGGTTTTTGTATAAATTACCAGCATGCTGCTCCCCAGGAACAATGATGATCTTCAGTGGCAACACACACCTGTATGATGAACCTGCATAGCATTATTTTAGAGCCACATTAAAACATTTCTACTCAAAACTACTCCCTGTTGCCCTTCTTTATGGGGAACAGGTTCTCAGCATACCAAAGCCTGGCTGACACAGGTGACCTTGCCACTGGGGAATAGTAAAGTATTGTGTTCCTGTGTTAGCTACCATGAGGAATGGATTGATTTGTTCCATTCACTACATGGATGCTGCAATACATGTCTTCTGTCCCCACCCATTGACCCAGACCCAACATGATCTCTATTACAAGTCTGCTACTGGAATCATAGAAAGTTCATATGATGGGAAGGAGGGGAAGTGGTAGACAAAGGAAGGATGAAAATCGGCAACTTATCAAGATATGGGTCATCAGTCTTTTGTCCAAAATAAAACAAACACCACTCTCATTATAATGAAATTGTCTTATTTGGGAGTAATTGAGATTCAATTATGTTCTGCAGATCATTTGGCAATATCGAAAGATTGCAGGACTTCAGCAACATTTGGCTTAAATTTTGTCCATTTCATTTATTCTCCTGGTCCCTAAATCTTTCTCTATATTATTTCATTTTCACCACTTTAGCCATGGACCGGACTGTGTGGCCTGGAGTTTTACTGTAATATTTCATAATTCACTGTTCCTCACATTGGTTTTGTCCTGTCATCTTTACAACTTTAACCACAAAGACCCAAACCCTGAACAAACCTATTGTCATCCTTTCAGTTCACTACAAGGATACCTTTCCCCTGTTGCTTGTGTGTCTTCACAAGAATGAGTCTTTCCCCTACTTTTCTTGCTTCATGGTCTGGCTTATTGAACTTCATCTCATGAACTCTTATGATAAACCATCAGTAAAAGGTTCTTGTTTCTCTTCTCTCGTGCAGTTTCAGTAGATCTTCTTCTTGACCATATCTAATTCGATATGATAGATGTTCATTATAATCTGACTATAAAAAGAGCAAGAGACACATGGGGAAGGCCATATTTGACATATACCAACTTTACAAAAAGGGGAAATTGTCCCCATCAACAGAATCAATAACAGAAAGGCAATTCCCATGAGGTCAGACACAACCCCCACACTCCTGTACCTCGCCCTACCAATCTTACTGCTTTACTGGGTCCAAACTCCAATTCAGTAGCTCACAAATCACACAGAACCATGCTGAGGAAGTCAAAAGGTTAATCAAAAGTATTAGTAGCAGAATACAGTCAGGATAGTTCCGGAAAAGTGCACACAGGCACCTCAACCTCTCGGCTTAGTCCTGCCAATATTGGCTTCCCACCCCCATTTGTCCAATGAACTTGAGCAAAGCCTATTCACTCCAGTTCCAGTGATGTAGCAGTCCCTGGGTCCTATCTCATGTCAACTCTTCAGTTTAGCAATGGCTGTTGCTGTTGGGAGCAAGGATGCCTGGTGAAGGGTGTCCTACCTTCTCTTGGTTTTCTTCAATGGCAAGGAAGATCTCATTCTGCAGCTAGAGCTGTTAAATTTATTGGTAAGACTAGCCAATCCCTTTGTGGAAGGGCTAACACACTTTATTCACACATTGTCACCCATCCACTTGGTCAAGTCAGATTCAGATGGCTATAACAGTCATGTTGTTGTTTGTTGTTGTTGACTCTATTGGGTTGAGGACAACTCATAGCAACCCTATGAACAAAAGACCTAAAGCCATTCTAGAACTATCGTTGTTTCTCAAAGTCATAGTGAAAGATAAACTCTGCACTGACTTAAAATATATGTAAGAAAGCTTAACTATAACATTTTTGAGGTAAATAGATGCTTCTGTACATAGTAAGTTGGATGAGAAGACAATTTTTATAAAAAAAATCTACATCCTCTCTAGACAAAACATAAGACTTTATTTAGGCCTAAGAATATCTTAGTTCATGTTTGTTTACTTGCCAAATAAATTGGCTTCCTCCTAAAGTATTTGAAAGCAAATAAAATATTTGCTTAGATTATAATAATAAACATAATGATTCTATATTCCAGGATCTTTTAATTTGTTGTAATTAAGCTAAGATGGGAGCTCTCGTGGCCCATTGATAAGAAGCTGTGCTACAATCCCAAAGGCACACGATTTGAATCAACAAGTAACTTCAGAGAAGACAGGTGGACAATCTCCTCCTGTGTGATTTAGTGCCTCTGGAGGGTCAGCTGTGTGTCAGTTCTGACTTGACAATACACAATAACAACAACACTGAAAAGAATCTGGGGCACAATGCATTGTATGCTGTGCTGTTTTCTGAAACACTGTTGGTTCTGATCCACCAGCCACAATGTCATGGAAGAATAATAGCAATCTTCTCTTGTAAATATTTATCACCTCAGAAGCCAAAGGGCGAATCACCATGCATCAGAATGTACTTGAAAGCAGTGGATCTGATTTTAGCAGACGATATAAGCATGATACTTGTTTGGGATATGTTGCTGAGTCTCTAGCAATTTGAATCCACCAGCAGCTTTCAGGGAGAAAGATGGATCTGTTAAGTTGTATAGATTCCAAAACCTGTTGGAGAGTTGATATGAGTTAGAACTGACTCAGTAGCTTTGACTTTTTTAGTTCATAACTTACTTCTCATTTTCCTCTGTATTTCCCCCAGAACACTGCAGTTAGTAAATGAAGATGTAAAACTTCACAACTCTGATTATTTAGGGGACTTTAAAGGCAAGAAGTTTTGTTGCTTTCTTCTGTAGATATTTAAAACACCTTACTAATACTGGTTATGACATAATTTAATCCTTTTTTGCAAAACAGTCATTTCTGACTCATAGAGACCCTTCATCAAATTCCTGAGGCTTTAAATTTTAACTGGAGGACATTGCCCATCTTTCTCCTGTCAGGCAACTGGTGGATTAAAACTATTAGACATGACAATATTTTTGGTTAGCAATGCAAATACCCTACCAGAGTTCCAGGTGTGAAGATTTAGGCGCTGCTATTTTCTGTTGGGCAGGCATACTCATATTACAAATTATGTAAACAATAAAATACAACATGTTCTGGTCAATAAACTCTATTCTTGCAATCAAATTATAAATTAGTATGTTTACTCACTTTGAAATTAGCCTCAAAACAAAAGTAAGGATTATCTCTAAGTTCAACTCTAAAATATAGATGTAAAAAGAAGATATTTTCTAAAACCTTAAGAATGCATCAGAAGACTAAAGGAATTCAGAAACTGAGCAATTAGTGTATAATTAGTAACTTAGAAAATTTGTTTAAAAAATAAATAGACCAATTGAAAAATCCCTATTAATCAAGGTTAGAGATGAAGCAATAAGAATAGCCACTAATATTTCCTGAGAGCTTATTATGTTTTATATAAATGGCTGCGATCAGCCATAAATTGGCCACCTGCAGACTCTGAACGTCTAGAGACAGTCCCTGGATTACAAACAAGATCTGTTCCTAAGTGTATCTTTAAAGTGTCAGTAAGTTGGAACAAGTTCATAGAATGAAAGAAAAGGCTTAAAGTTTTTTCAATGTTTTAAAAGCTGAATGTGCCACAAGTGAAAGTGATTGGGGTGAAAAATTTGTTGGAAGTAGGAGCTGGTTCACTTATTTCAAACAGAGGATAAATTTAGATAACCTTAAAGGTTAGGTGCCACTGAGTTCACTAAGACCCAGTGGTGCTATGGAACAACACTTCTAAATCCAGCCTTGGCCTGTGCCATCCTCAGAATCTCTGCTATGCTCATGTACATTATTGCAGTCACTGTTGTCAACCCATCTTGTTGAGGGTCTTCCTCTTTTCAGCCACAATTGCACTGTGGTCCTTAGAGTTTCCAGAAGCTGATTATTCAGAAGTAGATTTCCAGATATTTCTTCCAAAATGTCTCTGAATGGACTCCAGTTGAATCCAAACTCCTTAACAGATTGCACCACCTAGGAACTACAATTAACAGCTATTAAATAAAACTTACCTCCAAATCATCAAATTGATTTCTAGAGTTCCTTTGCTTCTGAGGTTTTCAGATCAAAATTCTTAAAGATGTTGGGGTATTTCAGATCTGCATTGTCTGCAGCTGTTGGCTGGGTCTTCTGGGTTCTGGTTGTTGAGAGTGTGACAACATGAATTTTAAGCGATTTTGACTCAAGAGAGTCTAATAATGGTGCCATTTGCAAATGGAGCTTCCAAAATTGTATCTTCTAAAGATATTTAACTAGAAAAATAGATGCATGCACTATTGACTAGATAACCTAAATTTTGTCATTGAAAATAAAAATATTAAATTTGTTGAATTAATACAATTGAAATTGTGTATTGCGCTATAATTTTAAGTTAAAAACGATCTTGAATTAAGTTTCTGTCTCTATAGAGTTGGCAACATACACTTTATTTTGCATTGACTCTCAATTTCATCTTGTGTCACTTTAAATCTCTATGCTACTTTTCCAAGGAAGTAGTTTGCATTAAGATTGAATCCAAAATCATAAATTCTTACCTTTCCATCTTTTGAAAAAAAGACTTTAGTCTTTTCACTATATAAAAATAAAGTCTAAATCATACAGCAGAGTGTCTCTTGTTCTTCCAAAATACATTATGGATTAGTCAGAAAAAGATTTTCAGCCCGGAAAAACATGATCATGGGAGTCCTTTTTCTTCTCATTATATTTGAATCATTTATTCAGGCTTTCATTTCCTCTCTGTGTTCTAGAGAGTGGAGCCAACCTCTTCATTTGAGGAGCTTCTTGCTACTTTTATGTTTTGTGCTTTGAAATGTGGTCAGTGCAGTGTTCCAAGTAGCCTTTGATGAGTTCATGTGCTAGCCTATATTCAGAAAGTGGGACTCCACACATCATTTCTTTTCCACATTCACATCTTAGTTATTCTTGTGACCACAGCAGGATCCTAAAAGAGAGCAATCAGAGATTGTTGAGTGACTTGATAATTAAGCCATAATCAACATAGTCAAGGTTTGTGGAAAGAGAGAAGTATACCTGCTGTTTGTTTTATTCTTTTAGACATTATTTTATCTCGTGTTCTATTGATGCTAGACAGTTTCCATCATCATCATCATCATCATTATCATCATCATCTGTATTTGTTAGTGGGTCTTCATTTTACCCACTACATTCTTACCCATTGTTATGGGCTGAACCAATCACTAGAACAAATATTATGAAAAAAATATTCCCAACATCCCCTGGCGCATTTAAGAGGAAAAACTAGACAAGGAAACTGTTGTTATTTGTTATCAACTCAGCTCAAGCTCAGGATGACCTTATGTAGAATAGACTGAAATGCTACCTCTTCCTGCATGGTATTAATGACCATCACTGTGTTTGAGTATACTGTTGTAACTATTATAGAGTATCTTTGAAATTAGGGGTCTCATTTTCCAGAAATATATTAGATGATGTTTTGTTGTACTTCCTAAGTATTTCACTGACTAACTTTTGAAAATTTCTAGACCTTTTCTAGACCTTTCTTCCTAGACTAGCTTAGTCTGGAAAACTGCTGAAACCTGTCCACCATGGGTAATCCTTCTGGTATTTGAAATGCCAGTAGTATTATATGAGCACCCAAACTAACACAATATGATAAACTGAAAGATAAGAAACAAGGAAGAGGCCTCCTCAAAACCTACTCCTTGATTTTCAAGGAGCTTCTTTTAATCCCAGACTTTGTAGGCAATGTACTATATTTATGATATTTTTCTAATGCCCTGTTGGTTTGGAGAAATAGTGTATCCTATACTACCCATTCTCAATCATTGTACCCTTACTCCAAATAATCAGGGGAGAAATTCCTTCTAACAAGACATTAAACTGTCAGTAAAGTCTTCTTGTACATTTCTGTTTTGTTCTTGTATGTATATAGCTGAAAACAGTACCTCCCAGCTGTTGTTGTCATGTACTGTCAAGACAGAACCGACTCATAGCTGACACTCTAGTGAGATTTGAAAGGCAATAAATTGCATGGGAGGAGATTTCCCACCTTTATTTTAAAATAAGTACTCTCTAAGTTATTTCAAAAGGGTTCTTATGGTTTAAGTAAGACCCAAGCACAATAACCACCTGTCTTCCCATTAGCCTGTTTGAAGTGAATGTTTCGTTAGCTGTTAATGCAGCCTTCTATTGCCCAAGCCTGTTGACTGATCCATCATTCTCTGACTAGGTGTCTGTTCTCTCTTCCTTTTTGCTGATCACAGAGGCGCAGCCCGGTAAGAACTCTCAACATTTTTACCTTAAACATGTATAGAAAAAATTGGTGTCTAGGCAAGATAGCCAGGTTGGTTTCCCATTAAATGTGCAATAACTCTGCATGAATGAAGCTGACAAATTAGGTTTGTTGGTTGGAAGCCACTAATCTTCAATGTGCCCGGGGAGTAGTTTAGGATTTTCATAGCACTTGTTCATTACAAACTAAATTCCTATATAGGAATTACAGCTCTTAAAACTATGTTTGAGGGATGTGTTTGTGTGTGTATAAATGCAATGTATTGGGCTAGAAAGTACCATAGAAGTTGGCAGAATAATAACTAAAAATAAAACAGTAAGGAAAATATTATTAAACCACTTTTTATTTAAACATAAATTTAAAATGTTATCACCACATCATACCTTATATTTGTCTGTATAAACTGTTACATAATCCTAAATTTAGTAAGAAGAGGCATACTTTCAAGGTAATGTTTCTAGACTGTCACAAAAGTCTAAATTTCATCACTGAGACAAATTATGAAACGGTAAATTAGCAAAAGTTTGTATAGCTCGAAATAAAAGCTCAATCATCTTCATCAGATTGAAAAGTATAATAAATATAAAACAACAAAAAGAAAGATCTTTGCTACGTTTGAAAGGGGATAAATTGTGAATGAGGAAAATTAATTGGGTTTGGAGCCAACTTTGGGAGCCTGTGTTCCGGACATGAAGTGTCCAGGGCCTGAAATACCATCAGTCCTGTGCCAATTGAAGTAATTTGTTATAATTGAAGACAACTATCCTACCCCAGCTGGTATATAGGTAGTTCTTTATTTAAACTACAGAGCTAAGGTCAATGTTAAATGGTTTCAGAGACTGCTTTTGGGTTATGGTTGATGATTCTAACTCTGTGGTTTGGTAATAAGTCACTTTAAAAAAAAGATCTTTTTTAAAGGAAGGAGTGAGTTTACTAAGTTAAAGTGAGGAAGATTTGTTGTCAATATATTAATTTTTACAATTTTTGGTGGTTGTAGATCAACAATCATTGAAAGGGTTGGGCAATGGGGTCATATGATGAGAATAGAAGGATTTTTTTAATCAAATGTGTTGCTTGATTGTGCTGTGTGCTGTATATCATCTTATCCTCATTCCTCCAGCTTCCTCAGAGGCAGCATTGAAGATGAAAAAGATTATTAGGGCTTTCGTTTCTCCTATTGCTAATTTACTATTGATCATGAGAAGACCTATTCTTTATAAGTTGATGTTGTTATTATTCACCCTGATTTTTAAACCACAGGGTTTTCTTGCATAGGCTTTCCTTGCTCACATTTAACTGGGAGATTGTTCATTCATGAGGGAAAGCTAATAAACGTGTTACAAGAGCTTCTTCCTCAGAGCCTCAACACAAACTATCTGGTGAATGGATTGCTACACCTGTAAAGCAACGAATACAAAAAAAGCTTTGTACCTTCCTTAGTTCCACGAGCATTTCCCCCCCATTTTTAATAACAGGAGTTAGACAGAAAGGCCAAATAGTCTTTATTGCAATCTCTGGGGTTCTATTCTTTCTGTGCCAACTTATTAACCTTATAATTGACTACCTGGAACCAGAACACCCCCTCATAACTTTTCTTTCAGACCTTATTAATAGATAACTGGTTGTCTTGGGCTACGTAACTGCAAAAAGCATTCTACCTCCATTAAATTATTTGGTCCTCTACTATTTTCTATCTACACAGCCTTAGTTTCCAAAAGTAAGCCTGCATCTTAACCCCACAATCACCACAGTATATTTAAGTGACTACATTGATTAAAAAGCTTTTGTTTTTATTTCTGCAAATAATGTGATAAATCTTTGTGTGGTTCATAGAGTAAGGGAAAGCATTACATTATTGGGCAAGACAAGCTTGAAAATATAGCTTGAAACATTAAAACAGCTACTTAGGAGGATAAATCATTTCTCACTTAAAACATCTAAGGATCCTTGTTCCAGTTAAAATGTTTTTATCTCTCAAATAAGATCATATGAGTGTGGAAAATACTAATAATTATTTAGGAGAACGTGAAAGAAGCATCTTCCAAGTCTGTCATAGAGGTCAGATCATGTGATGTTTTAACTTGAGAAAAGAAAGCATATTTGTGACCTCTGAACTGAGACTTCAGCAAAGTAAGAAAGTAGGGACAGTATGTTTTTTATAGCTACCAATCAAACTGTCATTCATAATGATATTTTCTTAGACTTCCCATCTCTTCAAACCATCCCTTTTTATGTCATTGTACCAAGGCTGATCATACCAAGACTTTTCTCACCCAATGATGCCAATCCAAGTTGTGGTCTACTTTCTGGTAGCATCCGATGCTAAGAACTTTTTAATGTTTCTAATTTTAAGTTAAAAAATTGTATCTAGTAATCTGTTAATTATTCTTATTCTTATTTTAAGGTGTTATGAGTCTATAAAGGTTAGAGATGACTATTTCAAATTATTGCCAAGAGGGATATTTGCATCCCAATAGGAGGATCACTATACCTTGAGCTAAAGAAATTAGTGAATTGGTGAGATCTTAGCAGACAAGGGGAAGAAATATAGGGGGACAAAATGGAATTCTCTGACTTTCTGAGTGAAAGAGACCAATCAGTGGCAACGTCTCCAAGTTTTCCTTCCCTTTGACACTTGCCACTTATGTGTTCCAAAATTGCATTAGTAAAGTGATGGGTAACTGTACCTGGAACTTGAATACCCCACTAGAAGCAGATAATAGGCCTAATAAATTTTACAATTTTTATATTACAAACTGGACCAGAGATTTATGGTAGCCTTGGATTTATTTTCTTAGCTGCTAAAGTCCAAGTTCTAGTTTTGTTTTGTTTTGTTTTGTTTCTAATGGACTGCTCATTATTTGTCTTTAATTCACCAAATCTATCCAGGTAAGGGGTTTTTCTGCTTCAAAAGACTCCTTTTTCCTCCCTTCTCTCTTTGAGTCAAATGAAAAATTGATTTGTGTGTGTGTGTGTGTGTGTGTGTGTCTGCAATCCCCAACTTTAATGAGATTTTTAAGACATTTATTTTCTTCATCTGCATTTCTCAGTTCAGTTTAATGCAAAAACAGCAGTATACATATTGTATATAACATCTATGTGGTCTTAAACCTTATAGTGTCTATTTCTAATTCTAGGGTGCAATTAAAAGGAACTTATCCAGTAAGTATATTTTAGCTACAAGAAATAGAATATGATTTAAAAGAAAAAAATAGTTCCTTGAGCCTTAGAAGATATATATACATTTGAATTAAATGCACCTAGCCTAATTTTAATATATGCATTTTTTTAACTTATGCAGCAAAGACATCTTGTAATAATAGAGAGTCTTTGTAGGTTCCAAAGGATTACTGTTAAAGTTCTTAGCTGATTATGCTTTGGGGAAAGCATTGCTGTCTCCTATTTGTCAACTTTTGATGTATCATTTAACTTTGGAAATGGATTTAATCAAGTTATATGTTTGCTCTTGGGATTATAGTGAGAAGGAGAGTTAGAAGAAATATCAAGGTAATTGTACTGTAACCATTCTAGTGTTATTTGATATGGAAATTTAACCAACCAAAGTGATAGGTTATAATATCCACAGAGTACAATTTTTCTCTTCCATATACAATACATTCCAGGAAATTCTAGATTCATGGTATATATTTAAAGGTATGACATTTTCTTGGCATTTCTAGGGGGAAAAAAGTCATAGAATGCTGTATTTGGCGGGCTCTGGTAGCCTAGTGGCAAGAAGCTGCAGTGCAGTTCCAGAGCTGCACGGTTCGAATCCAAAAGATGCTCTGCTGGAGAAGGAGGGACAATCTCCTCCTGTACCAGTCAGATCTAATTTGACGGTACACACACACAGAAATAATAAAATAATTTTTAAAAAAATAATGCTGGATCTATGTACTATGTACATAATGGCCTGATTTAGTAGTCTCATGCTAATTGGATAACGGAACTGATCAACACAGCAGACATTCAAAGAATGGTATATGATTCCACTAAACTCTGCAATATACAAATCTACTTATTGGCTTTTCTCGAAGGTACCTTTGTGAATGAGTTAACAAGGCCAGAGAAAATGCCACTGCATATGCCTAATATATGATCCTTAAAATATCAGAGGCAAGGTCTTGTTTAGCAATGTTTTAATATTGATAGCACTTAAATCTCCTAATGTTTCCAAAGATAACACATAAAAAATGTTGGAGGAGAATGATAGAAAAAAAAAAGAAAGATCCAAAAAAAGTCTTTTTTCCTGTTCATCAGGTGAAGAAGTTGCAAGACCTAGACGTTCCACACCCACTCCAGAACTTGTAAGGTGAGAATGGAAAACATTCATTATGTTTTATTCACAACATCATGACCTGTAAACCAATCTCCCTGTACTCATCTCCAAGAAGATGGCTTGTTAATAAAGGACCTACCCAAGGTGCAAGTTCATAGCATGGTCTAAATATGCTCTTTTCTCATGCATGCAGATGTGAAGAGATCCTTGGGGGAACTACTCTGGGATAATATGAAGTCATTGTTGTCCATCAGAATGCTTAGTGTACTCACTAATGAGAAAAGTCTGTTGGTGTCTGGAATGCTGATCTTAAATATGTTAGCCTGTGGAGAGGATTAGAACTTCATGATTGTACATTCATTCTACCTGTCACAAAACAAAGAAATCACGTTTTTAGTGTTAGGCATTGTTTTTAAAAACTCTATTGTTGATTGCCTTCAAGTCAAGCACAACTCATAGTAACCCTATAAACAAAGCCCCTTTACAACTATCAATATTTATCAAAGTTCATAGAGTTTCCAGAGACATCTTATTTAGGAAGTCGATGCCACACCTGCAGCTAGATTATCTTACATGTTCCCTCTTTCTCCAGTTCCTCCTTTCCCCATTTCATCTCTTCACCACACACACACACACACACACACACACACACAGAGCTGATTAGGATCATTGATGTGAGTTAAGCCTATAGAGGAATGATCCAAGCCATAGTCTACACAATTACTTGCTACGAATCAGAAAGCTGGACAATAACTAAGGACGATAGGAGAATCAATGCCTTTGAATTGTGGTGCTAGAGAAAAGTATTAAACATATCCTGGACTGCTAAGAGAGCAAATAGGTCTCTTTTGGAGAGGTGAAACAAAGCTGCTCCTTAGAGGCAAGGATTTTATAGCTTTGTCTCATACACTTTGGGTATGTTGCCGCGAGGGACTAGTCGTTGGAAAGAGACATCATGCTTGGAAAGTAGAGGGACAACAAGGAGGGGAAGACCCTGAATAAGATGGATTGAATCAGAGACTGGGGAAATGGGGGTAGGCTTGTCAGAGACAATGAAATTGGCACAGGATAGGGAAGGATTCAGTACATAAGGTTGACAAAGGTTGTGCAGGTGACTTGACAGAACATAACAACAACAAAATAACGTAGTGTTTTTATTACAGTCTATCTAATGATTAAAAGAATCAATGAGAGTTTAGTTGTTATTGGCCTGTTCTTGATACTTGGGTTCCTTTTATAAGATGTACTTTTGGGATATTAGGAGATTATTGAGTGTGAAGAAATGGAATTAAAATACATGCTAACATTCTGGTTGGTCTGGTCACCTAAATTTTTTGTGCCTGCTTTTGTGTTAACTAATTAGAAACTGTATTAACTACAAAAAAATAAAGAAATGTAGTGAAGACAAATGTAAATTCAAAGACGACCTTAGGGAAGAAAAGTGCTTTGCAATAAATAGGCAACATCATGATAGATGAAGAAAATATTGAATATTGAATATTGAATCTGTCAATGATTTCCTCTTACTTGGATCCACAATTACCACCTTTGGCAGCAGCAGTCAAGAAATCAAAAGACATTTTGCATTAGGAAAATCTACTGTCAAGGACCCCTCCAAGGATTAATGATGTTAAAGCCTAAAGTGTACCTGATTCAAGCCACAGTATTTTCAATTACTTGTTTTGCATCTAAAAGTTGGACGATAAATAACGATGACAGAAGAAGAGCTGATGCCTTTGAATTGTGGTGTTGGAGAACAGGGCTGAGTATCCCATGGACTGCCAGAAGAACAAAGTAATATATGTTGGAGAAAGTGCAACCGTGTTGCTCCTTGAAGGCAAGAATGGAGAAGCTTCATCTCAGATACTTTGAGAATGATAGAAGGATCTAGTCCTTGGAAAAGGACATCATGTTAAAAACTTGAAAGGTCAGCAAAAGAGAGGAAGACCCTCAACAAAATGAACTGAAAAGATTAACTGTAACAGTGGGTTCAAGTATATCACAGATTATGAGAATGGCACAGGATAGGGCAAGGTTCATATCTATCATTTATCAGGTCTCTATTTGGAGGCTCATGTGTGAAGTGGTTGGATTCTGGAAGGGTGGGTTCACATGTTTTGGTTGGGGGTGTCAAGTGTGGACTGTTTGGTTGGTTTTTTAAAATTTTGTTCACAATTGTGTGTGAGTTGGCTGGATTTGCTTGATTTAGCCAACAGTGCACTGTGGCTGATAGCCTTTTGTTAACCTCCTGATGTTAATTGTATATATGGGATAAACATTCTTCTAAGAGGTACGGCACTGGTCTGTCAATTTGCTGTACTGAGGTAATTTGGGGTTGGTGTGATGCTGAATACTGTGCCACTGGTGTGTCAAATGCCATAATGGTTACCCATGGTGGACAGTGTTTGGTGGAGCTCCCAGATTAAGATAGGTTTGGAAGCAAAAATGGCATCCACTTCCTAAACAACATGCCTCTGGAAATTCTATTAAATAGAACAGGTCTTTTGTTCATGCGTTGTGCTCAACTCCATGGCACTTAACAACACTAACAATATGAGTTGTACTCAGCTTGACGGTATCTAATAACAACAACAATAATATTATTCCTTCTATTTATAAATAATCAGCATATTTGGCAAATTATTTCTCTCATTTTAATTTATTTCATTGGACCACAACACTGTATGCCACTATAAGTATTTTATCTCCTGCCAACTGTCTTGTCTTCTAACATATTTAGTTATTTATTTGACACACTTTATAACGTATTTTCAGACCCATAGTCACTTGATACACATATACTTGAAGGCATACGTGTGTGAGAATCTTACCTAGAGAATTATATGAAAGCAAAGTTACAAATAATTTTTAACATTAATAACCTCTCTCTTTCTGTTTGCTTTAATGTATATGATTTAGCAAAAAGCCTCCAGATGACACTGTGGCCCTTGCTCCCCTCTTTGGCCCACCATTAGAATCAGCTTTTGATGAACAGAAGACAGAAGGTAAATAAAGTGTTATATCTCTGGATTAATTGGTTCTTTTTTTTCCAGTAAAGTAGTTATTTTTTAAAACATTCATCAAAACTATATATAGCCAACTATGCACCTTTTCTGCAATTTCTACATGTACAAAGCAGTGACACTGATTGATTCCACACTATTATTCTTGCTATTTTTCTCAACTATCACACCACTATGAGCATAAAATCACTACCCCCTAACTCTATTATAGAACATTGTGAGTTACTGATTTTACATCACTAGTTCTTTACAAAAGGCACACTGCTCAAGGAAGATAAGCTTTACTTTCGGTTCCAACGTGATTTCAGGGGACAATTTTGGCTTCAGTTTTAAAGATTATCTCAGTGCAGACGTTTCAGAGGTTTATTTAGCCACTACGGTTCTAGAAATCCTGGATCCCATGGAAAATTTGAAGTATCTTCTTACTGTATCATTACAGACTCATGTGGAAAGAAGAATCCTGGTCTAGGTGTTTTAGAAAGCATGGGAATTTTGTTCGAAAGCCTTTATATTGTGACAGATTGCTAACAAACTCACTCCCCCAAAGAAACCAGAAATAATTATCACAGATCTGCGTAAATTACTAGTCAAGGAGTAAATGCTCTGTGAACTAAACAGTCATTATTTGGTAGGAGCACAGTGGAGTCAGCCCATCATAGTGGCTGTCACTTTGATCCAGCCTCTCCGACCATATTTGCTCTGTTTCACCTCATCAAATAAAGTGTCAACTAGAGTTTGCAGAAAAAAAGACAACTTTGTTTGTAGGGCTACAATGCTGGAATAATGATGAATTGCTTAGCAAGTTAAAAGTAAAATGTAAGAGAAAGAATATATTTCTTTAATTGTTACTGTGTTTGCTAGTAAATATTCATTCATAGAGTTAGTTTCATTTTTTGTAGCTGTACACAGTACATACCCTGATTTATTTAAAGAAAACTCTCAATTAAAAGAACATAATCTGTTCCTTAAATGTTCAATGTATGTGTCATCTGTAGCTGTGTTTGGTGAGATGAAAAGATAGATATAGATGTACCTACACCTATACCTTTATCTATATAATGTATGACGTAAGAGCACTATGATAAAATGTTCCTTTCCCAGGACCTAATGATTACAAATATTAAATGTTTTAGGACAACAATACTTAGCAGAATAATGAGTAGACCGTTTTTGTTGTTATTGTGTATTGTCACATAGGAACTGACCCATAGTTGACCTTCCAACAGGTTTTCAGAGGCAGTTAATCTCAAAGAAGGAGATTAACCATCCTTATTCTGTGAAGCAACTGGTGGATTCAAACCTCATGCCTTCAGGATTTCAGTGCCGTTTCTCACCACTGGGTCACCAGAGCTCCCGAAATGAGTAGACTAAGCTCCGATAACAAAGATAGTCCAAAATAGGGTGAATTTAACAAGCTACACCTAAGAAATATAAGAGTAATCTAATATGGTGACTCTAACCAGCCCTGGTGGCATAATGGTTAAACATTTAGCTGTTAACTAAAAGGTCAACCATTCAAGTCCATCAGCCACTCTGTGGGAGAAAAAAAATTGATTATCTATTACTGTAAAGACTGAAGCTTAGTAAATGCTTTGTTGCATAGCATTCACTAAGATGTACTGTGTAAAAGACTTTAACTAGGTGTTGGAATTGACTCACCAGCATACACCAACCACAGGGTGATCCTGCTTTCCTCAGCAAGTGGCCTTCATCTCCAGGCCCAACATGGCTGCTGCAGTTCTCTTCATCTCCCAGTCAGAAGAAAAGGAGGACTAAGCCAATGGAACTCATTGCCAATTCTTTTTAGAGCAAAATTTAGAAGATACTTCACTTCTTCACAGATCCCTGTAGAGAGAATTTCAGCTGCACTGTTTATACTATAATGTGAAAGTTAATTCTAGGAGATAGATAGCAGTCAGCAATAATGAGTAGACTGAGAATATTTTTAATTATGTTATCAAGAGAAGGATATATTCTTGAATAGCCCTTTGGCTATTTAAATAAGTATAATTTAGAAACCTTACATGAAGGTGAGCCTGTGATAAAAATCATCACGTACATCATAAACATAACTATAATCAACCACACATTTGTTGACACAATTGTGTAGTAAATTAAGATAGAGTTTGAGTTCCTGCATCAAATTTAAGGTAGAGTCTAAGCATCTTAAAACCCAAGAAGGTGTTCTACATTGAATGGATGGAAAATATTATACTTCGCCTCTTTGAGAATATTTGAGTTAAAAAGAACACAGTGCCAAGGCCATCTTTGAGGTTTGTGACAGAGCTGTACTAACACCTGAATTTATCAATGAGACATCACTTCTCTTTCTAGTTTTCAGCCTGGAGGTTGTGTTAGGTTTCAATATTTGCGCAAACCACATTAGTTCTTCACAGACCACATTTCCCTTTCTTCTCTAGCCATTGTTTATTTTTATTGATTCTCCAATCATTCACTTGAAAGCTTTCAGGGAAAACACTTCTGGAGTCAGATGGCTCAAACCTTCGCTGTTCTTGCTCGCACTTGCTTTGACACTCTCATCCACAGTTTTGTGTTTTGTTTTGTTTTTCTTAAAAGGCGATACTAATAACAACACATGATGACGTTGTGAAAATTAAAATATATAAAAATAATAACTGGCCTTGTGCTAAGGAGCTCTAGTGATGTAGTATATAATGTATTGCACTGCTAAACAAAAGGTTAGCAGTTCAAATCCACTGTAGGACAAAAAGTAGACCTCCCACTCCATATTTAGCTGGTGGTTGTTATTATATACTGTCAAGGCTGAACTGACCAATAACAATCCCTCCAGTGGGTTTTCAGAGGCAGTAAATTGCACAGAAGGAAACTTATCATCTCCTGTGTAGCAGCTAGTAGATTCAAACGGTATGCCTGTTGTTGGCAGTGCCGCTCCTTACCTCTAGGACACCAGATACCAAAAATCATTAAAAACAAGAACTAAAACAGATACTAGTTCACAAGTGTAGCATTATCACAATAGCCAAAATATGGAAACAACCTAAACACATAAATGGATTAGCAAGAATAAATATGCATGCACCATAATAGATGGAGAAGCGATTGATAACAATTTTACCATGCTAGGCTCCACAATCAATATAGTTACTGTGGTAATGGGGGTGGATGTGTCAGAGTCAGTGAGACTGGCTCAGAATAGAGCAGGGTTCAAAATTACTGCACTATAGGGTCACTTTGAGTCATGGGCAATTTGATGACACATAACAACAACAATAATATTAAATGTCCTTAAGTAATCAACCAGGGAAGCAATATAGACGTTTTAGCTGTACTTAGCTGTATTTCCTCAGGGTCATAGTCCCTAAGGAGTTGCACCACTAACCCAAAGATAGCACATTTCTGGTAGTTAGAATCCACCAGCAGCTCAATGAGAGGAAGATGACCATTTCCTCCCATGTAGTTTACATATTCTGAAAACCCGCTGAAGGGTCGGTTATGAGTCGATAGCAGTGCAACAGCAGTGAGTGATTTAGTGAGGGAGTGCTTTTTACACCCTTGGACTCATAGTGATCTGATAGGACAGAGCAGAACTGCCTCATGGAATTTTCAAGGATACAAATCTTTACAAGAAGAGGTTGTTTCCTTTTTCTCTTTCTTGTGCAACGGCTGATGGGTTTGAACTGACAACTTTTTCATTACTAGTCCAATGCTTAACCTAAAGAAATACTAGGACTCTTCTATACAGGGTTGCTACGTTACCATGACTTGGAATGAATTAGTGATGGGTCATGCACACACATCCCCCTCACTGGGTTTTCATTTTGTGTTTGACTAGATTTAGAAGCAATTTACCTCATAAATTATTCAGTGTGAAGCAGGGGTAATATGATTTTGTGACATTCAACTAAACTGAGATTTTAATTTCTAAATTCCAAAAGATGTTCTGTTTTGGGTTTACACTGGGTAATTTTCTTTTTATGTTTCCAGGTTTTTTAGATCAGCCTGAGATATGGGGTTCGGGCCAACCAGTTAATGCAAACATAGAGTCGCCAAAGTTAACAAGACCATTTCCCACTGGAAGTAAGTTCTATGTCTGTTCTGTCTGGAAAAGTGACTGAGTCATTTTACTGCCTGTCTGTGTAGTGAAATTAGACAATTCTCAGAAAGTCTACTTCAGCAATATTTGGACTGCATATTTCTAAGAGGAAATGTTATATTCTAATAAGCTTTAGATGTAAAGGAGGTCATGAAAGTTTATTGAGGCAGGAATAAGAAGTAAAATAAACTTACTATATCAACGTTTCATCAGGATTTGTGGTTCTACATGTCTTCTATCCATGTGATCAGTTATTTACATATACATACACACACATGCTACACATACATAGAGAGAGGAAGAAATGAGCAGAACCAACTGACCATCACACAAATCAAGACTCTTAATGCTTCTCCTTGCTAATAGGAAGCAAATAAAAAGCTTTAACTTCTTTGAAAAGCTTTCTTTATTGGCTTGAGTTGTCCAGTTGTTCCTAGAAAATGCTCCTAAATGCCGTGAAAGTAAATTTCATGTTTATGTGTATCATGGTTTGGTTTTAAATTCCCATTATCAGTGGCCACTCACTGGAGAAAGACATCCTGCTCGGAAAAGCAGAGGGTCAGTGCAAAAGAAGCCGACCCTCAATGAGTTGTGTTGACATAATGGCCATAACAAGGGGCTAAAAAAGACAGTGATGATGAAGGTGATACAGGCTCAGTACAGGTTTCATTCTCTTGTGCACAGGTTCGCTATGATCTGGAGATGACTTCTAACAATAGCACCTAATGATAACAACAATTGGTAATTCTGAGTTGTGAGCTTTAATAAGACAGCAGAAGCTCCTGTGTAATTGTTGTGCATTGTATAATTCAACTCAGTCATTCATGGTGCACAACTTTGCTCTTTTAACTTTTTTTTGTTTTTGTGACCTATCATCTACTTTTGTGATAGTTTGATGAGTATAATCTTGACTAAATTTCTGCGAAGATCTTTAATCAAGGGCAGAGTCCCTGACTGTGGACTTCTGTGGGAAATCATGTTTCATTTGAGATATTGTTTACAAAGGCTTATAACTAGAATTAGAACTCAATGATGTATCCCCATACTTTAGGATGTTAGTCATTAGATGTACCTGTTTTGTGTGTAGATAGAACACTTTCTATGATATATAGATAGATGATAGATATAAAAAGATGAGAGTGTCAAAAGTGGGGCTTTTTCTTTTTTGAATTTTTTTATATTTTCCCCTTTTTTAAAATTAATTTTAATGAAAGTTTACAGAACTTTGGATTTCCATTCATTCATATGGTGTTTTTTTGGAGTGTTTTTT